ATATATATATATACATATATATATATATCTCTCTTCTATATACATATATATATAGATATAGAGATATATATATATATATATATGACACATATATATATATTCATACATATATATATAGATATAGATATATATATATATCTACGTTATATATCTATATATATATCCATATATATCTATATATACATAGGGTATGGATATATACATATATATATATACACCTATATATACATAGAGACCCAGATATATATATGGATATAGGGTTTTATCCTATGTATATACCCCTATTCCCCCCTCCTGGTACCCCCATATATGGGGGGGGGGTTATATCCCTGTATATAAAGGTCTCCCTATCTCTTTCTGGGCCTCTACATATATGGGGGGGGGGATATATAGCTAGGCGGGTAGGTCCCGCTCCCCCCTTGGGGCCCCGCCTTTAGAGAGAGATAGGGATTTATGCATATCTGTAAAGACCTAGCACCCCCTCTTTGGCCCCTGCTAAGATGAGGAGGGGGTGTGTAGCCTGGCTGGTAAGGACACGCATCCCCTTTCTGGCACCTGCATTAGATGAGGAGTGGGTGTGTAGCCTGGCTGGTAAGGACACGCATCCCCTCTCTGGGCGCCTGCATTAGATGAGGAGTGGGAGTGTAGCCTGGCTGGTAAGGACACGCATGCCCTCTCTGGCACCTGCATTAGATGAGGAGTGAGTGTGTAGTCTAGCTGGTAAGGACACGCATCCCCTCTCTGGCACCTGCATTAGATGAGGAGTGGGAGTGTAGCCTGGCTGGTAAGGACACGCATCCCCGCTCTGGCACCTGCATTAGATGAGGAGTGGGTGTGTAGCCTGGCTGGTAAGGACACGCATCCCCGCTCTGGCACCTGCTTGATTCTGGGCTCTGGTTCCTGACTCCATCTCCCTGCCATGCAGACCTTGGGAGGAAGTGGCAGTGAGGCAAGAGGTGGGTTTTTCCCAGCAACCCAGGAGACCTGGATTGGATTCTGGCTTCTGCCTTTGGATCTGGTTGTTGTGGGCATTTAGGCAGCAAACTAGCAAGCGGGAACACTCTCTCATCTCATTCTTCCTGTCTCTCAAATAAATAAATAAATTTAAAAATCATACAAATATGTAAGGTAGAGGACTGGTCCCAGCTGATGACTTTCCCACTTGAATAACTGTTGTTGATAATTTAGTGCTCCTAGTATTTGCTAATGGAGAGATTTCAAAAATGGTATTTCATTGTTACCTTAATCTGCCTTTTTTTTTTTTTTTTTTTTTTGACAGGCAGAGTGGACAGTGAGAGAGAGAGAGACAGAGAGAAAGGTCTTCCTTTGCCTTTGGTTCACCCTCCAATGGCCGCCACGGCCGGCGCGCTGCGGCCGGCGCACCGCGCTGATCCGAAGGCAGGAGCCAGGTGCTTCTCCTGGTCTCCCATGGGGTGCAGGGCCCAAGCACTTGGGCCACCCTCCACTGCCTTCCCAGGCCACAGCAGAGAGCTGGCCTGGAAGAGGGGCAACCGGGACAGAATCCGGCGCCCCGTCCGGGACTAGAACCCGGTGTGCTGGCGCCGCAAGGCAGAGGATTAGCCTCGTGAGCCTTGGCGCCGACTAATCTGCATTTTTGAATGCTTGGGAAAGTCAAATTTTTTTCTCTTGCATGTGTATTATGCTTTCATCTTTCATTTTTGGTTTGGTTGCCACTGTGGTAGTAACTTTTACAATTTTTTAAAAAGGTTTATTTATCTGAAAGCTAGAGAGAGACAGATCTTCACTGATTCACTCCCCAGATGCCTGCAACCCCTGGGTCTGGGCCAGGCTGAAGCCAGGAGCCAGGAACTCTTTTTGGGTCTCTTGTGTGGGTGACAGGGACCAAGTACTTGAGAGCCACCTGCAGGGTACACATTAGAGGGAAACTGGGTTGGAAGTGGAGTCAGAACTTAAACCCAGGGCACATAGGATGAGGACATCCCAAGTGGTGCTCTGCTATGACGCGTGCCTCTATAATTTTAAATAGTGGACAAAACCCTGATTTTTTGATTTATCAAAATTTTGGCACAATTGGTGGATTCCATTGTGGAAGTGAGAAATTAGCTCAGCAACATGTATGCCTGCCGTGTACTACTTCCTAATTTGTGAGTATATGATACATGTGGGTGTATGCTGTGTTTATAGCCTGTTACCTAATGGTAATCAGACCTTCCGTGCTTTGTCTCTTGGTTGATTTTATATAGGAAAATCAAAACCATTAGCCATACAAGCATTATTATGATTATGTCGTTACTGTGGAACTAGGCATGTGGTTGGAGGTTTACTTCTAGAAGGAGCAAGAGCCCCAGGCCACTGTGCTACTTCTTGTAGCCTCTTGATTGCCTTCTGTAGTTCTCCACTACTTCAGTCTGTCACACTCAGCTGCAGCTGTTTCTTGAATCATGTATCATTTCCATTTAGACTTTTTTTTTAAAAAGATTTATTTACTTATTTAAAAGGCAGAGTTACAGAGAGGCAGAGAGAGAGAGAGAGATATCTTCCATCTGCTGGTTCACTCCCCAGATGCTCACAATGGCTGGAGCTGCGCCAAAGCCAGGAGCCAAGAGCTTCCGTGTCTCCCACGTGGGTGCAGGGGCCCGAGTCCTTGGGCCATCTTCTACTGCTTTCCCAGGCCATAGCAGAGAGCTCTATTGGAAGTGGAGCAGCTGGGATTCGAACTGGCACCCACAGGGGACGCCGGCATTGCAGATGGCAGTTTTACCTGCTACGCCACAGTGCCAGCCCTTTGACATTTTTTTCTTCCTTCTTTCCTTGACATCCCTTCCCCCCTTCCTACTTTCCTTCCTTCCATCCATTCCATCCATCCTCCTGAAGTCAAGTTTTTTTCATATAGAGGTTACACATGATGAACTTCTGGGTCCTTGCTTGGTGATTCTTGTACAACACTGAATAACTGGATTCTTTTTTTTTTTTTCTTTAGTTTTTTTTTTTTTTTTTTTTTTTTTTTTTTGGACAGGCAGAGTGGACAGTAAGAGAGAGAGAGAGAGGCAGAGAGAAAGGTCTTCCTTTACCGTTGGTTCACCCTCCAATGGCCGCCGCGGCCAGTGTGCTGCAGCCAGCATACCGCGCTGATCCGAAGGCAGGAGCCAGGTACTTATCCTGGTCTCCCATGGGGTGCAGGGCCCAAGCACTTGGGCCATCCTCCACTGCACTCCTGGGCCACAGCAGAGAGCTGGCCTGGAAGAGGGGCAACCGGGACAGAATCCGGCATCCCGACCGGGACTAGAACCCGGTGTGCTGGTGCCGCAAGGCGGAGGATTAGCCTAGTGAGCCACGGCGCCGGCCCAATAACTGGATTCTTAACACATGATGTGAGTTTCCTCTTTGTTCGTGACTAGATGCTTTTCCTCTAGAGACCCTTAACTTATATGGCAGGGCTGCCTGCAGGCTCTGTTCACATTTGTAGGGCATGTGAATAGGCTGGATTCCAAAAAATAGTCCAAGGTGCAGAGTGGGGAGCTGGCAACAGGCAAAGCATTATGGGAGGCACCTGCAGCTGTCAGTGGACTTGGCTGTTCTGTGCATTTTACTCTTGAGTGAAGCTGCCCTCCTTTTTGTTGTTGTGTTGTTAAAGATTTGTTTTATTTATTTGATAGAGCTACAGAGAGAGGTAGAGCCAGAGAGAGAGAGAGAGGTCTTCCATCTGTTGGTTCACTCCCTAAATGACCACAACAGCCAGAGCTGAGCTGATCCAAAGCCAGGAGCTTCTTTGGGGTCTCGCAAGTGGGTGCAGTGGCCCAACTACTTGGGCCATCTTCTGCTTTCCCAGGCCATAGCAGAGAGTTGGATCGGAAGTGGAGCAGCTGGGATTTGAACCGGTGCCCATATGGGATGCTGGAGCTGCAGGCCAGGGCTTTAACCTGCTGCACCATAGCACTGGCCCCAAAGCTGCCCTTTTTAGAACCATCCTTTTCCATTCCTTGTCACCCCATGCTGTGATTTTCATTGGAATATTTCTTAAAAAGATATATTTTGTTTTGAAAGGCAGACTGACAGAGGAAGAGATGGAGAGACAGAGAGAAATCTTTGACCTATTGGTTAACTCCCCAAGTGGCCAGGATGTCTGGGACAGGACTAGGCCAAAGCTAGGAACCTGAAATTCCTTCTGCGTTCCCCACGTGGCTAGCAGGGGCTGAAGAACTTGGGCCATCGGCTGCTGCTTTCCAAGCACGTGTTTCTAAAGTTTTAGTTTGGGGGTGAGCATTCTTTCCCTCTGAGGTGGTGGAGTGATTGGAGTGTGGGAGGGGCTGGGGATGGGTTCAGTTGGAGGACCGACTGGCTGTGTATTGGTGGCACTTAAACTGCTGGAGGGGACTTTAACCATTGTGTGAGATGAGCAGGAAACAGCTGAAACAGAGAGAAGGCACTGGCTCTCTTCTCGGTTCTCTCTGCTCCTGATTTTATCAGAGAGGAAGTCCGTTTGGTGCTCCCCTGAAACACCTCTTTAACAGCGGCCAATTTCCCATCGTAACCAAGAGAACAGGCACAAGTCTTTGGTCAGCTACCATGTTCCTTAGACTTTAGTAACTTTGTTTTACTATTGTGCATTTATTCTTTTTAAGATTTATTTGAAAGTCAGAGTTACACAGAGAGAGGATAGGTAGAGAGAAAGAAAGAGAGAGGTCTTTCATCCGATGGTTCACTCCCCAATTGGCTGCAACGGCCAGAACTGTGCCGATCCAAAGCCAGGAGCCAGGAGCTTCCTCCGGGTCTCCCACACATGTGCAGGGGCCCAAGGACTTGGGCCATCTTCTACTGCTATCCCAGGCCATAGCAGAGAGCTGGATCAGAAGTGGGCATCCAGGTCTCGAACTGGTGCCCATATGGGATGCCGGCACTTCAGGCCAGGGCTTTAACCCGCTGCACCAGAGCACTGGCCCCATGCATTTATTCTTACAGCTACCACCTACGGGTGACAAAGTGACACTTGTTTTCCATTTACTGTAGTGATATGATTTCCTTTAATATGTGTTTATTTATGTAAATCACAATGCAGGGATTTGAAGAATACTAACATAGAGTGGCTGGTCCTGGGACATGGCGGGCATCGCGGTGCATAGTGGGAGTGGCTGCGGAGTGAGAACTGATCGTCTGTGTTCCTCCCAGGGTTTTGGTCTTGGCTGGTTTGCTCCCTGGACTCACAGGAAAGGGCCCAGTGTTTCGAGGTATTTTTTTTCCCTGGAGTGCTGCCTTGGGTGTCCCAAGTCCACTGTGTGACACAGTGCTTTTCTATAGTTATCCTGTTTGTGTTGCCAAGCTTGTTTGACCCTTTGCTCCTTGTAGATGGAATTTGAGTATGTGAGATTTAAGGGGGACTTTCTGTTCCCTTCAGCCGGCCAGGGTTCTCAACACCAGTGCTTGGAGGTGTTTGGCAGCTTCTGGTACGTCATCTACTCTCCGAGTGTGTGCTGAGAGGCTGTGGGGAAAGTTCAGCTTGGTCCTCACGTGTTTTCCCACCAGACGGGAGCAGGAGAGGGTCCTGGGCGCACCGCAGCTGTGAGGTCATGCTCACGTTCCCCAGCTCGCAGGCATGTGTGCCATTTGCACCAACAGGCTAATGCAGTGTGTGTGAAAACCTGTGGAAGCAGGGGGGACCCGGGTGTCCTTGTCACCTCCTTGGGTTGGTTCGGGTTCACTGCATCTTTGAGCACCTGGAACCATCCCTGGCTTGTCACTGAGCAGTTAGCAGCAGCACTGTCACCGAAGCTGGCCTGAAACTCTCCGCCCTCTCTCGCCCTCTGGTGAACTGACCTTGTGTGATGGACACCTCACCCCCAGCTGTGCTGCTGCGGCAGCCTTGGGAACCGGGAACAGGCAAGCCCCAGCTCTGTGTGTTTCCTTGGGGCGCT